GTAGCAAAAAAGAATCTTTAAAAAACAAAAGAAACATGCAAGGCAGAGTGTTTCTCCACCTTGGCACTATTAACATTTGGGGTTGGATAATTTTTTGTTGTGGGGGCTATGCTGTGCATCCAGGATGTTTAGCTGCAAACCTGGCCTCTACCCACTAGGTGCCAGTAGCACAAGCCCCTTCCCCAAGTTGTGACAACCAAAAATGTCTCCAGACATTGCCAGATGTCCCCTGGGTGTGTGCACAGTCAGCCCCAGTTGAGAACTACTGCCATACAGGTTAACAGTATTAACTTCTTGAAAGTGCTCTAGTAATGAAATTTTAGAATACAACATAGGAACCTTTAACGTAAAGACAGCAAATCTCTCAGGCTTTGTGAGCCACAGTCTCTGCTATATAGCCTTCTTGGTTTTTGTTTTGTTGTGTTTATAATCTTTCAAAATTGTAAGAAGTAAATCTACGTTCAAAAATAGGCTGAAATTTGCTGATCCTTAGATTGTAGAGGAAGAACTGATGGTGATTCCCATAATGATTGAAAGTGTGGAGACAGTATTTGGAAAAACTATGATCTTGATCTAGCTACCCAGTCTTTGTGACCCTGAGCTAGCAGTTATGCTGCCCTTCTTGGAAAGTCTGAAGTAAATAACTTCAAGTTAGATTTTATTAATCTTGTCTGCAACTTAATTCTATTTAATGTATTTAAACATAAAAGGTTTAAATAAAACAGAAACTTGATATTTGAAAGAAATGAGATCTCCTAGTAAATGGAAGAATGTTTGCTAAGTGACGATGCGTCCTTCCCGTGGTTTGGAATAAACCATTCTGAGTTTCCCCTGAAGAAGAGGACTTTGTACAAAGGCAATGAATGCCCCTACCCAATTTTCAAACTGAAATATGCTTTGATATGACTACAGAGGTTATCAAGGAGGGAAGAATGATATCTTGCAAACAAAGAATCCTAGAAACTGTCTGTAAAGTTGTAAAAATAAAAATCTCACTATGCAAATACATTTCAAATTCGTTTTTATGGAATCTTCCTTAACTCATCACATAAGTCTGAGTAAACTAGGGAGGGTCTATTCAACAAGTATTTATTGAGTAGGTACTATGTGCCAGGGACTGTGTAAGGAACTAAAGTTCAATCAACCTGGACCCTGCCAATGAGCAGCACTCAATCAGGAAGCAGCTACATTCAATCATCCAGAGATTTTTTTTCCAATAAAATCTTCTTTTTATTCTTGTATATTGTTAATTATAAATATCTTATGCTTTACTTTGGGTATTTGGAGTTTCTGTATGTGGATTTTAATTGACACTAGACAGAATCAGTCAAGAAAAATATTCTTATGATCCAATTACCACTATTAGAACAACTGGATGGGATGGGATATAAAACTTTGGTCAACTGTACTTCATTTGGATAACAAAAATGTATATTTTAAATCATTCAAGTAGTGTATCATATGAAAGTAAATTATAATGAAAAGAACACTGGGCTTGGAGTCCAGAACCCTGGGTCCAGTCCAGTCCTGGTTCTAGCCTTGTTTTTTTTCCCATGGACAAGTCACTTAACTTCTAAGAAGTAGTTTTCTCATATGTAAAACGGGATATAACATTTTTCCTAATTTGCTGTATTTAAACATACTGTATGTTTATAACCTATAAAGTCCTATAAAGATGATGTCATTATCATAAGTACTGGGCTGTACTGATTCTTCACTTTACAGAGATGATTCTGGAATAAATCAAGACTTGTTTTGTTAACAGCCTGCATCAGTTATCAAAGGGACCTACTTACACTTCATTTTAGGTGATCGCAAAGAAACGTATCTGTAAAAGCTTGTGAGGCCCTACTTTGAAATTTGCTTTGAGATGAACATCATAGATTTTCTGTTAAAAGATATAATCAGCTAAATTTAATTTTCTAGGAAAAGGAAGACGGTTGAAGAGCAGCATTTATTTAAAGAGGTTCAGAAATTACTGCATGAGCCCTTATCAGCACCACCAGGTCCTACCCACTTTTGCCTAATATTGCATCTTTGCCCTGTAGCCCTCAGGGGAAACCGATGCTAGGGGGAGTCATGCCTCACAGTGTGCCTCACTGTCATGCCTCAAAGTGCGGGGTCAACTATAGTGGTCAGAGTATGGTAATCATATCACTTGTGCAAATTCGAGAAAGCTCCTCCAAACCAGATCAGCTGGATTTTCAAACACAGATATTTTTCTGTAATACTCTCAATTACATTTAAAGATGTCAACCTGGCTTTTCGTTTTCTGTCATCACTCCCTCCCAGTCTGTTTTTTTTTATGTCAGCAAATAGTGGGACCAATATCGCAAGAAGGATCTCCTTCACTGCACAGGTACAATCCCAAAACATTAAGAGGAGAGAATGGGGCTACTCTTCATGCTTGAAGCAACACCCTACACCATCCTACAAGTCACCTCCTCAGTTTTGTACTGCGGTCTGAAAAAGCCTCAGACCTGCTTATGATCTGTCCACTTCACTTCATTTCAAATGTGACGCCATAAAACCAGCAGGGACCGTTCGGTGTTGTGTAGTGTTAACTGTCAATGCTATCCTTGATGCTGGTAATGAAGTATCAGAATAACACTAGTAATGACAATAACAGTGATTCTTTCACTCCTGACACCTTTTGTAAAGGACAAGTTATCATGTCTCTAAATGGAAAAAAATTTAAAAAAATAAGTGCTCACTCCCACACTTTACATTACCATGACTAATGAAGGTCCATCTTCCTGTCCCCTGGCTCCATACCTACCAAAAGTAGGGGCTGGATGCAGAAAGAAAAAATTAAATATATAATTTAAAATTGAAGACAATTAATTCCCTTGGTTTCGTAAGTCTGGGTTTTTATAAGCTGTATGAACTCACTTGACCAGAGAGTCATCAGCTAGAAATAAGTTTGGACCACTATTAGGCTTGGTTTTGACTTTACTCAGACACCTAGAAGATGAAAAACCATCCCACTTCTTAAAACAATCCACTGATTTGACCATTGTCCTTTAAAGTTGCCCTTTAGATATGGAGGCAAAGACAAGCCTCCCTCTCTCCAGTCTCATCCTTCTCCTATCACACTGTTTTCTGTCCTGAACTGATCAAAATCAAATAGGGAAGAAGTAATCCAGTTGAAAAGAGATCTGATGCGCTTGTTGATGTCTCATTAACCTTGAGAGTGACTGTAACTGGTGACTGCCTGTCACAGTGGTGTGATGGTTTGTGAGGGGGGGAAAAAGCCAATGGAAACATCACCTTAAAAAAACACAAAAAGAGAAATATCATTTAGTAGATCATGAATCAAAAGATGGAGCATTTCCAACTGTCAGAACTGGTTAAATTATAGTTTCCTTGTGCCCATGATGAATCTACTACGTGTTTTCTTGGGAAAGCTTTTGGAGCAGTATTTATCTGTGTCCCAAAATATAGTCACTAAAGTATTGAGAAAAAAAAAAAAAAAACACTTTGATGCTGGAAGTCTAATCATGAGAAAAACAAACATCTCGGGATTAATGTTATTAAGGTTCTCTGATGAGTAACTGTGTGATTTGTGTGCCATTAAAAATATCATGAGCTACTCAGTGTGGGAAGATCCGAATTCCATTGAGCCCCTAGTCAGATTCCCCTCATTACTAATTGCTGATTGATAACATGTCAACAAACAGACGTAGGGAAATAATGGATGAAAATTAGCTTGTCTCTAGGGACAAACTATTACCTGTAGAGGAAAAGAAGAGGAAAGAGTTCCCCAGGTTTCCCAGCAGACTCCCCCTTGGGATAAGTAGACTAGAAATCTAACCTGCCTGTAGTACCAGATCGGGACTAGAGACTCACACAAAACCATCACCTTCCATCCCTCTGCACCAGAGTCCCAGCTGGGACTGGTTCTTGTCTGCCCTCCCCAAAGGAGAACCTTAAGTAAACAAGCCCCACAATCCCCATCAGGGATTCAGATGGAACATTCTCACCTATTTTTACTTTTCTCTCCTGAGGTCTCCACTTTTCCATCTCTAGTCCTCACTCCTCGGCTTTTCTTAGGAACTTCCTGAAAGTTACCACCATTAACCTCACTTTCCACATCAAATTCCCACCTCAAGCTGATGGCACAACCGGTTTCTGCGAGTGTCACCCTCTAACCAGCTGCTCGGTTTCCTGTGCTCTTCTCGGGGCCACACAGCCCGGCTTCTGTTCTCACCCTTCTGGCTTTGCCCCTCACCCCCATGCTCAGATGCACCCAAATAAAAGTGGATTGATCGGTTCCTTCTTTTCCCAAAGTTTTGGCATTTCTTGAGGAGCTACGGTGAAAGACGAAGTAACTGCGAATTACAAACATAATTTCATACCCTAGAAGATAGAGATGGCTACCTCGCTCCAGAGAAGAGAGCAGCAGGGCAGCCCCCTGTTCTCGCCAGAGACCACACTTCTTTCTGGGTGGGTGGGAGGCATTTTCCTCACCCCTCCGCCTCACATTCTTTTGTCCTTTCCCAACCTCCCCCACCAACAACCTTTCCCCAAACACTCCGGGGGGGCAGAAAAACGGAGAAACAAAACAGGACAGGGAGGGGTATCTCGGAATCCTCTCCAAGCATAGTATTTTGTTCTCTAGTAGGACTTTCCAGAATGTCTTCTCTCATTCTGCTCCTTCCTGGCCCAGTTACCCCAAACCCTCCCCACCCCCAAGCCCACTGCGACCAAAACAAGCGCACCGACCACAGCACTGTGGCCGCCGCCGCCCCAACTGTTGCAGCAGCTGCGGGGTGGCGGCAGAGGCGACGCGGGCAGGACTGGACCCGGACCCCGACGCTCCCTGTCCAGGAGGCTGGGAGGCTCCAGTCTGCCGCCCTGGGGCGCGCGGTGCAGGAGAGCCCCTGCGGCAGCTGCCTGGGCTAGGAGAGGTGGCGCTCTCAGCCGGGACCCCAGCGCAGAGCCAGCCCGACCGCGGCCGCGGCGCTGGCGGAGTCTACCCGCACCCGCCCCCCTCTCACCTTTAAGATCAGGTCGGTGTGATGCTGGTCCAGCATGTTGGCTTTCTGGAAGGAGGTGACGATGACCCGGCCGTAGCGCCCGGGGGTCTGCAGGTCCGAGTAGAGACGGTGCTTGGAGCGGTTGACCGGGAAGAGGCTGTTAACGAGGTTGCGCTCGATCTTGGCCAGGCTGTGCTGGGGCGCCAGCAGGTGCTCCACGCTCTCCTCGACCTGGTAGCGGCTGAAGCTGGCGCCGAGCAGGATGGAGATGAGCACCGGCGCCGAGGCGAAGAAGACAGGGTGACTGGCAATGAAGTGGCCGAGCCGGGAGAAACACGTCCTCAAGCCCCTGTGCAGAACCTGCCGCAGCATCCTAGAGCAGAGCGGGCGCGGGAGGAGGGCGAGGCGCACGCTCGGCGCGGGTTCGGGCGGCGGCGGCGGCGGCGGCGGCGGCGGCAGCGGCGACCGCGGCGGCGGCGACGGCGGCGGCGGCGGAGGCGAGACCCTGAGCTCTCCCGGAGCCGCGGCACCACCATCGGGGAGTCCCGCGCCGCGCCTCGGGAGGGTCCCCTCGGGCCGGAGACACGCCCTCCTGCCCGCGGCCGCGCCCTCCCGGAGAGCCCCCCAGTTTGGCGGCCTCTGCGCCGCCCCCACTCCGCCCTACCGCGTGCGCCCTCCCCACCCCCCGCCGCCTCCCCGCCCGGGGGGCTCCGCGCCGCTCGGCCGCGTCCCCTCTCAGCACGGGCTGGGCCCGGGGCAGCCCCCGCGGCTCGTCATGACCCCACTCACCCGACCCCCAAGGCCAACAACGGGGTGGCGCGGGGAGCGGCGACGGCGTTATAGCCAGGAGACTCTGCGCGCCAGCCCAGGAACACGAGGACGGAGAATTCCAGGCTACACCCAGTCCCCTCCCCTCCCCGCGCTCCCCTCCCCCGGCCCGGCCCGCCGAGCTCGCTCTCCCCTTCTTTGCCCTCCTCCGGGAAGACCCAGAGATAAATAAAGAAATGGCCCCGATTTTCCAAACAAAAAGTAAAGAGTTCTCCGGAGGGGGGAGGGGGCGGGCGTCGGGCGGACCCGCTCAGAGCCGAGTCTCCCCAGAGGCGGAAAGGAGCAGGCTGAAGACTGCGTGCGTCCCGGCTCTCGCCAGGCTCAGGTGGTGGCGCGCACTGGCTGGTGCCGAGAGGGGGTGGGGAGCGAAGACGCTCGAACGTGGAAATCACGCCTCCTCCCAAATAAGAACCGTTTAAAATACCCCCAACACTGCAGCTTCGGCGGGACCACGGGGTCCGGGTGTGTGTCTGGAGCACGTCCACTCAAAAGGTATCCGTGGAGAATCTTTCTCTCTGGCTCTAATTTAGGGTCGTTCCAGAGTGGATTGGGGCTGGCCAGCTCTGTTGCACACCCCCCCAACCTCCCTACCCAGTCCTTTAGTAATAAAAGTGCTGATAATGACGGTCAGTCGATGGAACTGTCGGTCGCCTGGGCTCCGGGGCTCCCGGGCTCCCGGTTCTTCGCCCTGCCTTCTCCTCCTCCTCCTCGCTCTGTCGTCACCAGCAGGTCTGGGGGACCTGGTGCGGCGTGGCTGGCGCGGGCGCCCCTGCGGGCGTAGAGTGTTTGAGAAAGGCTGGCCAGGGAGTCAGTAGCGTTAACCCCCTTCTCTGCCTCACTCCGCCCTCTCCTCCCCTACACGCGAAGGTGTGAGAGTGGAGGGAACCTTATCTCAGACCAGGAGAGATACAGGTTTCCGAGCGTGTTGAGCCGCAGGGGGCGCGGGGGAGCCCGGGGGGCGCCGACGGCTTGGCAAAGTTGGGCGTGTGCGTGTGCGCGCCAGCCGTGAGCTAGCAGGCAGTCACCGTGGTTCCCTCGCACTCCCCCTCCGGAGAATTCCCCGAGAAGGCGGGCGCCGGCTTCGGCCCCGGGATAGACCTGCGGCGGCGGCGGGAACGGCCACGCACAGGTACAATTTAGCGCGTTTCATTTCGCGCTCCAAGCTCCTGGGTCTGTCCACCGCAACGCAGACCGGGCGGGATCTCGGAGTCTGGGTCACTGAGGCGCTCTCTCCAGCCAGGGGGGTGGGGTACAGGGCGCGGCGAGGGGTCCTCAGGCTCCGCGCTCTGAGCGCTCAGCCTCCCCATCCCAAGGCTTTGGTCGCTACAGCTCAGCCTCCCTGTGCCAGGGGTCGAACGGGAGGCGGTGGCCCGCACTACGGAGCATAGACATGCATATTAATCAAAGCTGAAGGAAGACGGAATAGGGACAGGAGGAGGAAGGGGAGTGGTGGGGGAAGAAAGAGGAGAATGGGTAGGAGAATGCGCCTCGGGGAGGCATTTCCCTAACGTTCCCATTCCAGACTCCCCTACACCTAGCGGCCCTTCACTTCTCAAACTGAACTTGGGAACTTGCAGTTGGAAACAGCAAGTCGCGGTTTGGGAAATCCTTATTTGATTATCTCCTCCCTTCCCCCATACCGGACCCTTCTTCGTACCTTTCCTCAGCAACACCTGCACCTGCTGCGCTGCCCACCCCGGGGGCGCACCTGCCCTGCTCTGCTTGTGCTCCCTAGATCCTTCCACCCATTTCTCATCCACTTTCTGTGCTCATCCTCGTTATTCCCTACACTGCTCTGTTTCCAGAGGCTCCCCAGCAGCTTCCAGCTTACTCCCCTCCTCCAGTATCGCCATCCCTGTGAGGGACACATTGGAAGGGGCTAGAAATTCCCATGCCACACTCCACTCGTGCCATTCCCCCAGCATCTTAATTTCTGCTCGTGGAGATGCCGCTGCTCTGCAGCGCTTTGCTGATTCACCATGATCGCGGAGGGAAAAGCCTCATTGACTTGTGCCCCTGCAAGCGGCGAGGCGAGCGCGAGTGGCTGCGAGGGCACGCGCTTTGGGAAACCACCCACCATTGCGTAGCCGAGGTGCTAAATGACAGGGTGGATGCCCTGCGTGGCTCTCAGCCCGGGCAGACGGAAAGATGGAAGGGCGGGGAGGCGGGGTGGCGGTGGGAAATACTGCGATCCCAGCTCTTTGCGACTGAGCCAGCGGCAGCTAGTGGGTGGGCACTTCTCAGGAGGCCTAAAATCGGTCGCTGCACAGGGAATGAACAGAGCTGTTTCATGTGCCCCGATGCCAGCGCAGGGATAAAAGTAAGAGAAGGAAAACCAGGCGGCACGTCTGCTTGGGCGCCTTTAACATTTTGGCCAAGCTCTTTTCATTCTGAAGTCTTTGACCCTCTCAGTGGCTCCCTCCCAACCTCGGTTCGCCCTCATCCCTAGAATTTCCGGCCTTTTAACGTCAGCCCTCACAAGGGCTGAAGAACAGAGTGCCCTCCCTCAGCGCCTGGGCTGAGTCTTAGAGCGGGAGAAACTGCATTGCTCAGCTGGCCAGGGCGAGAGTGTTGTCCTCCCACACAGAAAAGGCCTTTCCTTTGGGACCAAGGCATTCGTTCCTAGTCCTCCCAACTCTATTCCTAACTGTCCTTATGCATATTTGGAGGAGCTTCTACCCTGTATGTTTCAATTTGGAGACAGAACCAACTGAATGTGGACCTTGGGCCACCTTTTACTGCAGGAAATCCCGTTAGTGTTGTTTAAATTGAATTGGAGCAGCAGAGAGAGTGAGAGTGAGGAGAGAGGGGAGAGAGGGGAGAGAGGGGGAAGAGAGAGGAGAGAGAGAGGGGGAAGAGAGAGGGGAGAAAGGGAAAGAGAGCCCACATATAAGAGTACAGGAAGGGTGTTGCCTCCCACCCCCCCAATTTTTCTTCTCTTTTTGTAGAAGTTCTGGGGAGCATTGCCTCCACCAACGACTTGGGTTTGCATTTGGGCCAATGACTTTGTGATCAGAGCTTTCACCAGTACGTTAATAAATTATTACTTTTTTGATTTAAAATTAATACATATTAATTTTAGACAATTTGGAAAGTAAGAACAAGAAAAAGAAGGAAACAAAAACACCTGTATCGGTGTACTCACACTACCTTTCAACCTTTGTTGATCGTTTATTGTACACATAGGCAATATAATATAGAAGTTGTTGCTTTTGGTTCTCTAGCCCCGAGTTGAATCCTTGCTCCACTATTTATTAGCTAAAATGCAATGGGTAACTTTACTTCTTTATGGCATAATTTTTCTCTTCTGGAAAATGGGAATAACAATAGTACTAACCCCATAGAATTGCTGTGAGGATTAAATAGATTAGAAGATGTAACGCACTTAAAACAGTGCCTGAAATACCACAGACATATAATAAATGATATTTGTTATAATCCTATTCTATATACAAGTGTGAAAAGAAAATCAGTCCCTGGTATTCAGAAGCTAGCCTGGCACTCACAACTAAGTTTGGTGTTCTTGCACCCAACATAAACCATTTCCTGAAACACTAATGTCAGATAAGTGCATTCTGTAACTGTGATGGATTAAGATAAAATTAGGACCACTCCATAATCATATCTGAAAACAGACAAAACATGAACCCTGTCCAAACCACAAAAAATGACGAAGTATGTCATCCTGGCTAATATGGGGGACAGTTGTGGTCTTTTAAAAACCAGTTACGACTGGGCATGGTGGCTCATGCCTGTAATCCCAGCACTTTGGGAGGCCGAGGTGGGTGGATCATGAGGTCAGGAGCTAGAGACCAGCCTGGCCAACGTGGTGAAACCCCGTTTCTACTAAAAATAGAAAAATTAGCCAGGCGTGGTGGCCAGTGCCTGTAATCCCAGCTACCCGCGAGGCTGAGGCAGAAGAATTGCTTGAAACCAGAAGGCAGAGGTTGCAGTGAGCCGAGACTGCGCCACCGCACTCCAGCCTGGGCAACAAGAGCAAAACTCCGTCTCAAAAAAAAAAAAAAAATTTGCAGCTTTAGCCTCATTCTAGTCTTTTCTCCCTCTAGAAAAAAGATTAAGACACTCAGACATAAAACTATCCCTGCTTCCTAATGGCACCCAATCTGGTGTAAGCCCCCCATACACACAACCGACAACCTTCTCCCAGATTACTTAACACAAACCAAATCCTGTAAGTCCTTTCTAACACCCCCTTCTTGAGACACCTCTTATGCCTTCATGGTGTGTGTTCCTCACTGCAACAAGAAAGAAACCCAGTTTGGCCCACTACTTGGTGTGGTCCTCGTAGTCTTTGGCAAGAGGGCACTGACAATGTATATACAGTGTTTATTTACTTTCTTTTCCAAAATTAAGGATCATAGTAAACATTCTGTTTGATAACCATTTTTTCCCATTAAATATTTCCCATGAACATTTTCTCATTTCAATTATTAGTGCTATAAAAGATTTTATGGCTGCGTAGAATTCCATCATATGGCTGAACCATCATTTAACTTATGCCATATTGTTGGTCATTTAGTTTTCAGAAATTTTACTGCTATAAATAACACTGAGATGAACATCCTGTACATAAATCTCTGGCTGTACCTTTATTTTCTTAGGATCAAATATCTGCCACTACATGTTAAGTAGA